AATAGACAACATGGACAGCAGTGTGCAGATATGTCAATGAGTCTCAGCAAGCCAGTAGCAGACCTGTGAGATTCAGGCAGATTTCTGGCTGGAAGTCCCAAGTTGAGCTCCCTGTCCTCCTGCAGCATTGAACTCTGCAAGTTTCTACTGCAGGTTCCAGCTGCCCTTTCCCTTAAGATAGTCCAGGTTCTGATGGGACTTAATGATCCCTCCAACTTATCAAGTATGGTGGTCTGGTGCACCTTTATTGCAGAGATTCTCTTCACTTTTCCAGTGAGCTTCAATTTTCATCAAGGAGTCTGAGAGAGGCTCTCTTTCTGTTGTTCACTTCTGCTGTATCTTCTGGAGCACAGGACAATGGCCTTTATGACCCCCTGTGCCTCTATAGTGTGGAAACAGGTACCAGCAGAGCCAGGAGGCGGCGGGGTGGGGGTGGGGGAATGCTGCAGGTGCACAGCTAAGCTAGGGAAGTGGGGAAACGGGGCGTGGGCCAGACGGAGTCCCGCTCCACATGGCTGAGGTCCTCACCTTCAGCTCGCTGGTCGCTGGGAGGTGGGCGTTGTGTGGCAGGTTTTATTTCTCTGGGATAAACCTGAGCTGCAGAGCCGACGCCTTCTGCCCAGTACGAACTTCCTGCCGCTATCGTCGACTCGCAACCTGTTAGACCTAAAATTGACTTCATCAAAACATTTTTCTACGCCAGAAGACTTCCTTCCTCAAAAACTTATGAAAAATTTTGTCATAAATAAAAATATCCCTACTTATTAAGAAAAAATAAAACAATTTGGTCAAATAAAATTATAATTATCTTTTCATCAAAAAGCACATAAACAAATATATTTTTTAAAGACTCAAAAGAGACCTTATATAGTTACACTGTGTAGAATTTGTTTGGATGGAATTATATAATTTAAGACGTTTATACAGCAATTAGAAACTTGAATATTAGGTGATGTTAAAGAATAACAGTTAATTTTTAGTGTGCTTTTAGGTGTGACATTTTTGTTACTTTATAAACAGTTATTGTGTTTTAGAGACACACACCAAAGTGTTTCTGATGAGATCATATGATACTTAGGACTGTTTGAACATTATGACCAGAATAGGAGAGAAGATGGGAATAGAGATGAATCTAGATTAGCTTGAGTTGGTAATTACTAGAGCTCCTTGATGACTGATAGAAGGAAGATTTGTGTGTTATGTGTATTTTATACATACTAGAAATTTACACAAAAAAACATAAAAACATATACAAAACTAAGTATAGTTAAACTTATAAAACACAACTGAAAGGATGGAGTGGACAGTAACAAACTTTCTGTTTTAGATAGAATACATTTACTCAGCAATTATTTTGTGGTGAATCATTAAATGCCAGGCTTTGTGCTAGGTCCCAAGGATTCAAGGTGAGCAAGAAACTGGGTACTTGCCCTTTGGCAGGCTGGATGCTGTCTTAGAGTGGAGACAAGTAAATAGGACATTTCAATAGGGGAATGGCCATCCTTGTAGCTTTTTTTAAGGCCATCCTTGTAGCTTTTAAAGGAAGGGAAATGCTGATAGGACTCAGTGACTGCTTCCCTCTAGAGGGATTACTGAAAAAAACTCTTCTCAGGACAGACAAGAGGTTCCTGGCAACTGAGTGAGGGGTTTCCTGGAGAGAAGGTTATAGACACTCTATGGATGTTGTTCCTCAGGTGACAGCAGAAAAGGAAGGGCAAAGGATGTGTTAGTCACTTTTGTCACTGGGACATAATAACTGACACCCACAAATTAAAGGAGGAAAGGTTTGTTTTGACTTGCAGTTTGTCGAGGTTTTAGTCCATAGCTGGCAGGCTACAAGGCAGGATGGAATGGCAGAGGAGCATGGCAGAGAAAAAGTGGCTTATGGCATGGTGGGAGGGAAA